TCAATCCAACAAAACCCAAATCAAAACTTTCAAGCCAAACCATAAAAGGACATCAAGAATCTCAAAAGATCACAGCTGAAGATTCCAATTCTAAGGAATTACAACCATGAATAACTTCAATCCAGCAAAACCCATATAAAAAAACAAGCTAAATCATATACGGAAATCAAAATTCTCAAGAAACCACAGCTAAAGATTCCAACTTTGAGAAATTCCAACTAATAATACCTTCAATCCAGCAAAACCAATACCAAAAACTACAAGCTAAACCATAAAAATAAATCAAAAATCACAGTTGAAGATTACACTTTTGAGGAATTCCAACTAATAATACCTTCAATCCAACAAAACCCATATCAAAAACTACAAGCTAAACCATAAAAGTAAATAAAAAATTACAGTTAAAAGATTACAACTTTGAGGAATTCCAACTAATAATACCTTCAATCAGCAAATCCCATATCAAAAACAGCAAGCTAAACCATACAGAAACTCAAAAATCCCAAAAAGTCACAGCTAAAAATTTCAATTTAGAGAAATTCAAACCAATAGTACCTTCAATCCAACAAAATCCATATCAAAAACAGCAAGCTAAACCATAAAAGGAAATCAAAAAAAAAAATCACAGCTAAAGATTCCAACTTTGAGGGATTTCTACCATAAATAACTTCAATCCAACAAAACCCATATCAGAATTACAAGAAAAATCAATAAAAAAGATGCTAATTTTGAGAGAGAGAAGGGGTAGAGTACCTGTCCGAAGCAGTGTTTGGAGTAATCTTGAGCACAAGCTGGTTCATGAAACTGTAAAATCCCAATATTAATTGTTTTCCTATGAAAAAATATACTATATTATATTTATTATTCATTAAAAAAAAAAAGGCAAATAAATATTTGGTAAGTAAATAAATTTTATCTTCACCAAATTAGAAGTATGTATAAATCTATTAAATAAATACTTACCCAATGTGAAAAAATATAATAGGACAAATATGGTCCAAAGTTGGAAAATCATTTGTTTTATTTATGATTATCATAAAACACAGTAATATATTTGAAAGAAGACATTAAAATAATACAATTTTATTTTTTAAATGTAAAATTGTAAGACTATAATTTATAAACCACATTTTAGAACAACAATTGCAAAACAAGGTCTCTTTTATAAGATATGATTAAATTACTCCATATGTATTGTATGGATTGACAAATTTATTTAAAATATCATCCTCAAATTTCAATTATATAATTGAAATTTTAGGATAATAACTATTATTTTCTTTAAAACGAAAATTGTATTAATAGCAAATTAATTATCCACATTAAATGTCATAATCACGGTTTGATTTAATTGTAACCCGTAATAAATTGTTGTCATTTGTCTCTTTCTGCCAAGGTTTTCTTGCTCGCCACTCTCGACAGTCTTTCCCTCGCCCCTTTCGCTTTTATACAAATACAAATGTATAAAATGTGTTTGTGTTTGCATAAAGCGAGAGAAAATTATATATACAAATACATATACATATATTATCGTCCTATACACTTATGGCTATACAAATATAAATCATTTTCTGTCTAGTTTTCTTTTGTCTTTCTCTCTTTCTCGCTTTGTACAAACACAGATTATATAATAATTCTTTTGTATATGTATACCGAAACAGATTATCCAATTACTTCTTTTGTATACGTATAGCGAAATACACATATTAATAACCATAACAAACATAAAATTTATTATGAAGCACAATTATGTAAACTATATGTATAACATACAAATATATTTTTTATGCTAGTTATATGTGAAAGTTGCTCAAAATTTCACTTATGGGCTGAAAACTCATTTAAGTAAGAAGCCCATTATTTAACTTTGGCCCATCATGATATGGGCCTTAACAAATTAAAACCCAAAATACATTCCAATATAGGATTATTTCGAATAGTTATTTAATTTTTAATTTTATTTTAAAATAGTTGAGTAAAAATAATTTTTGACGGGAATTTCGAGACTCAAAGTGTACCACTCGAAAACTAGCAAAAAGCCTCGTTGTTTAGGGGTGATCTCATAGTTTCTACGGGATAGAGATGATGGGGTCAGTCCATGAATTTTTCTTCCTTTTCTTTTGATGCATTTCGCTCAAATGATTGAAGGTAGATATAGTTTATTAAGTTGTTCACGAGGGTCAACTTGATCATTATTCCCAAAGATCTCATATGAGGAAACCTTAGAGAATTGTCAACTTCAACTATCGTCTATATTCGATCGATACTACATCTGATCAATTGTTCATCATACCTTCTGTACGTTCTCGACAGCTCATCTTTGTATTCCCACAATTTATGGAGGATCACAAGGATTTAGTACAAAAATTATGACATGTCATCAATAAGTTTTGATGAATAATAAACTTGTCAAAATCTTGGCAAATCACCAGAATTTAAAAAAAAGTTTGAGTTGTAACTTTTAAAAGTACAATTGCTCATATATTAAGCAAATCGTAACGAATTTTTTAAGAGTGAGCTTATAACATGTCTTGATAAATCTGTCACAATCCAAACTCATAACGCGTATTATTCACTTTAACGTAACTGATCTCACAAATTTATCTCTCGAACTATATATCATCATCCAATTTAAAAGTCTGTATCAGATAACCTTTAAAATTTTACTTTTCATTCTTATTTGCAATTCACTCAAGATATCACAAACATTCCTTTCTTCTAAAACTTATCACCCTAAAAAAAAAAATGTCATATGCCATAAATTAAAGTTGAAAAGGAACTCAACTAAAAAAAAAGAAAAAAAGAAAAAAACATTCTTTTTTAACTTTAATGTTTTTGGCACATATTTTTTGACTAATTAAGTCACCAACCCAACATACATAAAAAGGGGGATGTGTGCTTCTCTTTCTCTAATTCTATCATGAATTTACTTTTAACACACATATATATAATAAAAAAATATAATCACCAAAGATTTATCAGTATAATAACATATTAATTAATTATTTTATCAAAAAAGATGATATATTTGTAATTATTTTATATATGATATGATTGTGTAAACCTTATTACACCATATTATATAAAATTTAAGTCGTATACACTGGTCATATAAATATATTTGTATTATTAAATTATTTATGAGCCAGATAATTTTTAATTACTATATTCTTTTTCGAGTGGACATTAAATTTAAAATAAAAAGATAAAAATTTTAAAACTTTTAATCTAAAATAAATCTTATGTATATAAAACAAATAGAAAAATTAATAATAAATTGAAAGAAATGGTAACTATCATATTATTATTATTTTTTAATCTTATATCAATGTATATAAATTAGATTCTTTTGGTCTCTCTTTTTAAAAATCAAATACTCATAATTTGGACATGAGAATGAGAATATTGAAAGAGACATATAGATCAAAAGCTTATATAAAAAGCACAAAAAGAAGAGTGGCATCAGATCCAAGAGAGTGTTTCACTTACTTTTATGCAAATTAAAAAAAAATCACTCACTAATTATTACTCTTTTTCGTTTTAAATTATCTATTGAATTTTCTCTTTTATACGTTCTTTAATATTCACTTAAAATCTCTTTACTAATGAAAGTTATGTTACGAGACTTGAAAAGACATTATTGAAAAATTAAAATATTTTCACTAAGAAAATGTCCAGTAATTATTCTGATTGTTTTTTTTTATAGAATCGGTGACAAAAAAATTAATAGTATTTTCATACGAAAAGATAAGAAGCTTCCCCCTATTCAATAAAAAAATATTTCTCATCATGCATTTTTTTTTCCAATAAGCTTATTCGATAGAAAATGAATGAAAAAAATTAAATTTTATAACATGTAGTTTCTATTAATTCACGATGGGATAAAAGTTTAAGATATCGAAATTTAATAAATCACTTGAATCGTGATACAATATTTTTGATGCCATAAAATTAGACTAGCAAACTATTACACTTATTTTAAAGGATCAAACAAGAACTTTCAAAATGATAAATAATTTAATATAAGTATTTTTTTAAAACTATAAGTAATAGATAATAGATAATTTGAAAGTAATGGAGTATATAAAGAAAACTATAAGTAATAGATAATAGATAATTTGAAAAAATGCACAAGTACTCCTTCCTTATACTGTACTAAGGTCCTATTACTCTCCTGAACTTATTTTATAAGTAATTTTTTACTCCTTTTCGGCCTACGTGGCACTACCTTAAAAAAATTAATCAGCATTGGCCCAACAAGATAGTATCACGTAGATCGAAAAGAGATAAAAAATTATTAATAAAATAAATTTAAGGAAATAATAAAATTTAAGTATAATATAAATATATCTCTGAGATTTCGAATATTATTAAAAAGTTACTTATATATTATCCCGTATATAAAAGCAAGGGAAAAGAACAAAAAGCAAAATAAAGATTCTAAATTAATATCATTGATTAATTCCTTTTTGCCTCATAGTTTATAAAGGAGCACTGGCATCAGATCCAAGAAAGTGTTTCACTTACTTTAATACAAAAATCACATATAGTAATTATTATAAATTGAAAGCAAAAAGCTTTATTCTGACAGTGATACATTGATAATAAATGGTTCTAATAACATTTATTAATATTATAAAAAAAATATTGTTCAAACATTTTTACAAGAGAATTTTATAAAAAAAACATTGGAAAAAACAATAAATATTTTTTGGTTTTGATTGTGTGATAAATAATTATTATTGGAGTTTCTTTTACTTATCTTATTCCATTTATCGCTACTGATTATTGATATTATAAAAGTTATTTTTTTATATTTTTTATGTAATGTTGCTTTCTCGTATAATTATTTAACTAATATTTATTATTTTTTTTAAAAAAACAAATTTTTTTTTGATTTTAATTTTCTTCAATAACAATGTAAAACAAATATCTTTTTAAAATAATAACTTTTAACTGAATGACTTACGAAAATCAAAACAAAAACATGCAAAATACCATAAAGAAAGTAAAAAAAATTCTCATTTCCTTCTTAGATTAATAATTAAATATTAAACATGATTTGTTTATCCACTGCCTCAAAAATCCCAAAATCATATACAAAATTCAAATCCAATGAACCATTATTTTCTTCGGAAAAACATTTTCTTGAAAATGAACTAAAGTATTCTTCACAGCTAAAAATGATTATAGAATCTTTAATTAACACTAAATCACCATTAGGAAGTGTTAATTTTCCACTTTCAATAGCTTTTTGAATACCCTTTTGTGAAAAAGAATCAACTTGATCCATATCTTCCATGAAGAACACTCTCCTTGGATTTTCTTGAATTGCATTTGTAAATCTCTCGAGATAACTCCGACCTGTTGATACATAATATAATTAAGTAATTAAATATCTGCCACCACTCAGGTCCACACGTCAAGGCCGGTGTGTGTTGAAAATAACTCGTTTGGTCAAACTTCTTGAAAGTAAAAAAATGCTTATTTTAGAACGCTGAGGTGTTTGACCAAACTTTTAGGGTTTAGCGGCTTTCAAACACAGATTGTTTTTCTAGCATCGATAGGCTTTCAGATTGATTAACCAAACACAAACAGCTACTATACTCCAGAAGTTACTTCTCACAAAAACCGTTCTTCAAAATAAGTAAAATTTTAGAAGTTTGACCAAACAGGCGGTAAGTAATGAAAGTGCATTGAGGGTAGGGGTGTGGATGGGGATAGGAGAAGTCGAAACAAAGTATAATCAAGTAAATAAAAGTTTTTTTTGGTAACGATTTCATTGTTTTTAGATGAGACGGTGAGACAGTTCAACAGTACTGTACCTTGCTCGTCGCGAGATCTTTTGTTATTGACTTCTTGATCAGTTGAATCTATTCTTGTTGATGATAAAAATGTACTTAATCCAATGGAAATGTAACAATCTTGAGAGCCAAAGATTACTTTAGCTAACTCCTTTGATATTTTCTCTTTGCCATGAGTATCAACACCTAAGAACAAAAGCCAAGTTTCTTCCTTTTTGTGTCTACATTCAAGAATAGTGCTTACTATATCATGAATGATATCTTTTTGCCATGGAACTTTTTCCTCCAATGCCTTGCAAACAATCTTCACGTTGCTCGAACTGTTCAAAAATGTTGACGAGAATGTGCATTTCTGAAGGATCTGACACGAGTGCAACAACAGTTCTGGAGAGTCAGAGCAGTTGTCAATATGTCCACTTGTTTCACTTGATGAAGCTGAATTAGGAATCGAATTGGGATTCGATAGAAGTTCAGGCTTTGTATTCAAGAATTGATGTTCTTTCTTCGATATCGAAGTAGAGGAACAAGGAGATGATGAAGATGGACTTAAAAAGCCTTTCTCTATAAAGTTATGATCATGTTTGTGTACAGAACTGCAAAGAAATTAGTGCAAATATCAATTATATAGTATGAAGAAAGTAACTTGAATATTAAGTTATAATGGAAACTTGTGTACTTCCCGTCTATGTTGTTCTGACTCTCCAAAAATGATACCGGACTTGTGCTACATCCTCAAAAGAACCACTACTTTTCGAGGATCCAACACACATCTGTCGTCATTTTTGAAGAGTCTGAGTAGCATAGCCCGAGGGTATGGCCTAGCTGATGAAGTGGCAAAAACGCACAAGCTAGAAAGAACACCAGAATTATAGAACAATAAATAAGTAGAATTCGTTATGGAAATATATTATACCTCTCAAGGTTAAGGCTGAGATCCAAGCTGACAACTGGAAGTGTAAGAGGATGAAGATCCCAAAGAGTCTGTAGAGAAGGATATCCAGTTTTACATTTCGTGTAAGTCGAAAAACTAGCAATTCCCATAAGCCATAGCCTTCTGTTTTCACTCATTTCGCCACATAACAATCGAGTAAGCTCCAATATCATGTAGTTGTTTTTCTGCTCATTCTGTACTTTAGTCCAAAACTCAGATATCCATTCAAGATCACCTAAGTATAAAACAACTCCTCTGTGTATATACCTTTTTAGCAAAATTCTTAGCTCTCTAATCTTGGACTCGAACTCTTCTTTCGAGACATTTCTCAGTGTAGAAAGTGGAACACTTATGAACTGAACATGTTTCATGTGTGATGATACTTCTCCTTTATCGAACTTATCGACAACTCCTCTAACAACCCCTTCAGCATTGGCTAAACACTCTGCCACAATAACTGTGTTTCTCCTTTTCTTGTTCATCATTGTGTCTATAACACTCATCACATCATCATTCTTGATTTGATCATCACTTGACTTACCTAGTGACAGTTTAAGGTTATCGCCTGGTGGTATAACCATCGATTTTGAACTATCTTTCCAAGAAACCTCCGAAGAAACAACGTGTTCTACATTGGTTTTTAGTTGTATGTTAGAAAAACCGGTTTCCCTCATGACTCGGCTAACACTTGAATCATCACCTGATTTGCATAGAAGGTTATTTCCTGATGCTATGACAATCGGTTTTGTGCTATTATCGGAGGAGATAGCGTGTTCTACATTGGTTTTCAGTTGGATGCTAGAAAAACCAGCTTCACTCATAACTCTGCTAACACTAGGATCATCAAGAATTGAAATAACAAGCTGGTCAATTTCTACTTTGAGGTGCTGTTGTTGTTGCTGATTCTCTACTGAACCACGACGTTGATAGGCTTGTGCCCTCTTAAATGCAGCATTTAAGGCATTAGAAAGTAAAGGAGGGTGAACATGAGGCTCGAGAATCGGACTAGATGCAGAGGTAGGAAGCCTATTGAGTGCTACATTGAAGCAAAGTTCAAGAGCTTTGTACTGAATTGGATGAGAATTTGTTTGAAAACAAGCTTTTCTTAAAAGCGTAGACGAAGAGGAAACTAACAATGCACTTGCTACATGAAGAGGAGTTACATGTGAATGTCCTCTTCTTTTAGCTAAGTTCAATGCTTGTTTCACTATACTTGAAGATTCAACAGTTAGTGCCTGTTGAAAACTAACATTAGTCCTCATTTTCACTCTTTTTTTCCGAAAGATCAAAGATCGATAAAGTATAAGAGATGTAGTGATTTTTTGTTGTGTGTTTTGTGGTAAGTGATAGAAGTGAAGGGAATTAATAGGAGTTTTTTTTAAGGCTTTGTGCTTTTCTTGTGGTTGTTGGTTTTGTATGAGAAAGTGTGAAAGCATGTGAAACAAAGCTGAATTGTCTCTCCTATCTTTTTGGCTTTTATAAGTGATAAAAGGAAACTAGACTGCCTATCTTTTATGGAAAAGTAATTATAAGATATGATTATAGGGATCCGACCGCGTTCACTTTTACTTTTTCTAGCCAGTATACGTATGTTATACACCGTTATACACATGCGTGGCTATTTATACCATACATCCGTCAGCTATTTTTAGTTTAAGCTGTTAATGAACATATATCTAGATAGAAGTTAATATTGCTCACTGAAACCTTCATGAATATTTTGTGGTTTTATATAACTTTGATATACTGACAATGTAAGCAAACAAGTCACTGCGCTCATATTGGACTCATTGAGGCAGTAGTTACACCAATTGTGTTGGTCGTTACTTATTTGACAATCGTCTACAAGAGCAGCCCCCTTTCCCCCTTCGTTGAAAAATTATATTGTGCAAATAAGGCAAGTTACGCGGTGCAACAATATTAATATTATGAAAATATTGGATAGCTCCATAAGAACTTTGGTGAAAAAGTGAAAGGGGGATATAGGAAAAGAGAAAAGAAAAAGCTTAAAGGAGAGAAGAAGACTGTCTGTCTGTTGAAGGAATTGGAAAATGCATTTTTTTTCTAGTTCAAGCTTCCTAGTATATTGCAAGTACAATCAATTATCGAGCCACGGTTTTTACGAAGGGGTTTTAAAATATGAAGAAGTATAACACTCGAAGAAGCCAAACAGGGTTCAACATTATACTATATTTACATAAAAAGAAAAATAGTTTAACCATGTATGTAAACAGTATAATTTTCCGCCAAAGGAGATTGATTGATTATGTGAACCCCCTCGTCCCTATCTGGCTCCGCCTCAGTACAATCTGTTCTCTCTAGCTCCTTCAAGACTCAAGAATAAAGAACAAAGAGTTCTTTGGATGATTAGTTAAATATTCTCCAAAAGTTTATGTCTTTATATTTCTTGATGCACTTTTTTTTTTTACTTCCATATAGTTTTTGTACTTTTGATCTTTCCTTTACTCTCTTTTTTCATGTGCAACCGCGTAAGATCATGATTTAAGAGATGCTGATACAATAAAAATGCAGAAGAGTACAACTGTTATTCACTCATGAATCGTCTGCAATTGCTCGTATACAAGTTTATGTATGATTTTCGCGCTATGTATGAGACTCATACGTCATACTTCATGATTTTCAGATATGTTTATGATGATTAGTGGACATGCACGTCTCGTTGGTTCGTTCGATGAAAGTTAAAGGCACTAAGTATAAAAACTGAGTGTGTATAGAAGCACTAATAAAGTCATAGTTACACAGTGGTAAAAGAAATAGAAATTAGTACAGTAATACATAGTTTTCAGACATTAATATGTTAATTTTTCAAACCTATAAGAGATTTGGTAGAGGAATATGTTATTTGTCAAAGTCATCTATGTTCTCTTCAAACAATTTGAAAATTATTGGTACTAAACATAGAAAATTACGCGAAAAATGTTGTTTTTATTCGTGAAAATGTCCTGTTTGTTCTAGTTATACTTTTTGGTTTATGTAACAGGCATTTCTGGTTTGAAGTGGTTTGATTCATCTTTTCTGGTTTCCGCCAGTATCTGATACTCACATCAGGGTCGACTAAATCTATATTTGCAAGGATGAAGGAGGATTTTCCGCTCCACTATGACCTTTGTTGGTAGATGTGGCATGATTTTTACATGCTAGTTATGCGGACGTTGATTATTTATGCAGTGATTAATAATGATATGGACCTGATACAATATCATTATTTCCGAGTCACAATGCACCATGACGATGTGATGATGATGTGAGACAGTGAGAGATAAGGCATGGGGTATGAGTCCCGACACTTTGCTTGTTAGACGTTATGGTTACGAGTGTGCATTGTCATATGCATAGTGGAATTGAACTCAAAAGACTGCTGTCATTGCTATTTCTATTCTATTACAGAAATTTAGTATGTATTATACACATATCATAGTTTACTGTTCACTATTTTCAACACAATTCTGTCTACTGCCCTCCAGTACCTGCTCCTCCAATTCTCATTTATCAAATGTAACAGCAGAAATACACCAGCAATTCCAGTTACAAATCCCGAGAATATAACTAAAACAAACAGGACATGTTCTTGATCGTATCCGTCATCTGTAGTGTCACTGATGATAGAGGGACCATTGTTACTGCAGTTCATCCCATCAGGAGCACCACATAAGTATTTGTTTCCGATATATGCTGATCTGTCTTGATACAAAGCGTCAAAATGTGGATTTTTTGGAATCCGTCCACTCAAATTGTTATAAGACAAGTTGAGATATGCAAGAAAATCCAAGGGTGCCAATGTCGCTGGAATTTCACCTGTTAATTGGTTATAGCTGAGATCCAACGACTCGAGAGAAATCATTTCATCAATAGTCATTGGGATAACCCCGGTAAGATGATTATGTGAGAGATTCAGGAATGGTATTCCACTTAAAAGTCCAATTTTGTCAGGAATTTTACCAGTAAGAGCATTGTTTGAGACGTCGAATCCACTGTTGTAGGAATACACTGACACAAGAAAATGTGTCTGTCCTTTGGTGACAATTTCTAGCTGAGCACCAGTGAACTTGAGGGAGTAAACGTAACCTAAGATGGTTGTTTGGTTTTGTGTTTTCATCATCATTTTCAAGCCATCAAGATTCTGGGGAATGGTACCGGACAGATTGTTCCTGGACAAACCAATATATTGTAGATTTTCCAACTTCATTACCTCTTCCGGTATAGACTCATTGAAAGAGTTTGATGCAAGCATGAGTATACGGAGGCTGTGTATCTCACCGATGAACTTTGGTATCCTTCCTTCAAATCTATTACCTGCCAAGTTCAGAATCTCCAAATCTTGAAACTTTTCAATCACTGTTGGAAAAGAACCTTCAAACTCATTTCCATTCAGGTCAAGGTAACGAAGGCTTGTAACACGTTCAAGTTCTTTCGGAACACTTCCACTGAGCTTGTTTTTTCCAAGACTAAGGTAAATGAGAGATTTGCAGTTCCCAAAACTACGTCGAATGTTGCCTGACAAGCTGTTATTAGAGAGATCAAGAACCTGGAGAACGTTAGTCGTTTGGCAAAATGATTCAGGTATTGGACCATGAATTCTGTTTCCTGATAATGATATGGACCTGATACCATGAACTTCTCCCATCTGTGTTGGAATTGAGCCTGCGAAATTGTTAAATGACAAATCGATGACATTAACATTCTCGAGCTGAGTAGGGATAGGACCTTGAAGTTTGTTTCTGGCTAAATTTACTAGTGTTGTAAAACGAGAAGATTTCATCTGAATAATTGGAGGTATAACTCCCTTGAAATTATTCATTGACAAATCTAGTACAGAGAGGGATGGGAGATTGAACAACCAGTATGGTATGGCTCCTGATAGACTGTTATTAGCCAAAATCAAAATCTCGAGGCTCGTCAGATTTGAAAAGAACTCCGGGATTTCTCCTCTCATGTTGCAAGATGTAAATTCCAAAACTGTGGGCTGGAAAGTTTGTACAAAGGATTGAATTTGATCATCGAGTTCCACGGACAATCCACTAACTCCGAAACTGATAAAGTCCAATCTAGACTTCTGGAGCATTGACAGTGGCATATTACCATTAAGGTTATTCATCTGAACATAAAGAAGTGAAAGCTTAGGAAGCTGAAGTATGCACGAGGGAAGACGTCCTGTTAGATCGTTCCATTGTAAATTCAGGTACTCCAGGGAGGGGATTTGACAAATGGAATTTGGAATATAACCTTGTAATCTATTCTGGAACAAAGATAAGTATTGAAGGCTTACTAAACTGGACATGGAAACAGGAAGTTGACCTGTGATATCATTGTTATTGAGCATCAAGATACTTAATTTCTGAAGTTTTGTAATGGAAGAAGGTATCGACCCTTGGATCGAGCATCCATCAGCTCGGAAATAGGATAATAATGTTGAGTTGCTTAAAGAAGGAGGAATCGGTCCAACTACCCGAGTGAAGCTTATGTCAAGAAGTGTCAACTTTGGCCATGGGGCTGAAAACATTGAAACAAGATCTATGGTCATAGCAGGATTGCTAGAAATAGAAAGTCTTTCGAGTTGAGGAAGGTAAGGGATATGACCATCTAAATTGTTGCCACGAAAATTAACAACTGAGAGGGTTGTGAGATTCGATATCATATCAGGTATCGTGGATGTTAGAACGTTAGAACGCATATCTAGAGTAGAAAGACTAGTAAGGTTAAGCAATTGTTCTATTGGAACTCTTCCTGAAATGTTGCAGCTAGACAATTGAAGTGACATGAGATTTGAAAGACCTGATATTGGTTTAGCCCAATGAAATGATTCCGAGGCCTTCGATAGATCAACACCAGTCAATACAAGATATCTAAGACGACGAAGTCCTTCTAACCACCTTAGATTTGGACTAGACAAATAACCATAGCTCATAAAAGATAACAATGAGTCAAAATCCAACTTTGGTGGTAACGTCAATCTAATAGTAATAGAAGAAAAATCGAGTACTGAATCAGCACACGAAAGATCAAGATACCTAAGAGATGTAAGGTTTGAGAATTGTGTAGTGATGGAATCTTGAAACATAGCATTTGACAGATTGAGATATGTCAACTTTGTTAAGTTTGATATCTCAACAGGTAACTTTGAATACATGAAGTTGTTGAAACTCAAGTCGAGATATTGCAGATCATCAAGAGTAAATAACAAAGGAGATATAGTCCCTTTGAGGGAAAAATCAGATATGTTGTTAGAACTTGAAACAACTTCCTTATTGCTATTGATTGTAACTTCCTCTGGATTAACATTCCGAAGATTAATAACAACAACACGACCTTCACTCGAGCATTTGATCCCTTTCCAAATGCAACAGTCTTCACCTTTCCATGATGATAATCGATTAGATGGATCAGTCAACATGGACTTGAAGCTCATTAGAGCTACTCTTTCTCCTTCAAGGCAGCTATAAACGATCGAAAAATGAAAAAATAGAGTAGCAAATATAATGAAAACTTTCATTAGCTTCATGACTTCAAATATGATGAACACTATCCTAGATTGTCAAGTATTAACATACTTATATATGAAGAAAAAGAGGCATTGTTTTGTGTAGGCTTCAACTACTTAACTGAAAATGATTGCATTATAAAGTCAACAACTTTAAATTATAATAATCTTATTGAGTTCTCCAAAAACTTTGTTTAATGAAAAAAAGAAGAAGAAGAGTGTTTATAAGGTTCTTCATACCTATTTTATAACTTTGACAAATTCCTCTATCACATCTTTGAATTTGAGTATATATATATCATTTTATTATATATGATCTTGGTGTTGAAAACTATGTTTTCTTTTAGTAAAAGTAGTTTTTGTGAATCATCATATAGTGACTTGTTTGTCGAAGTCAAGATGATTAGATATCATTTAAACGTACGAAGGTGAATCTGTTAAAGAATGACAAAAGTCGTTTTACATCAGTGGTTCATCCTCTCTTTGAGCTAGCTTTTGGGGTGTGAGTTAGACCTAAGACCTAATTTCAATATGGTATCAGAGTAAGCTCGTCTCACCCGATGTGGGCCTCAAAATAAAAAATTATCCACGCACCAGATGCTAAGCACTGAACGTGAAGTGGGGTGTTAAAGAATAACAAAAGTCTCACATGGTGGTTAATGAGATGGATAGACTTCTTGTGATTACTCGTTTACTAGGATGTGTATGTTGAATTACATAGTATACGATTTTGTAAAATAAAAAATTACACATGAAAGGAAAAAAAATACAAGCTTTTGTGAATAATTAATGTAGAATATCGTGTATGGTGATTTATTTGTCTTATTAAATCTCGAGAGACAGAGTTACCAAACGTCAACTCAGTGAAATAATTGAGATCTGCACAAGCTGATCAAAATATTAAACCACCATCATCAAAGAAAAAATCAACAAAGAATCAAGAAAATATTCCTACTATATACATAGCTATATATAATATTAATTTCTAAACAAAACTTATGGTTGGTATTTTCCCATGAAGGTCCACACATTATATAGATATTTCAAAAACACTTGTTCCCCACATACAAAAAAAAAATAAGATAAGATTTTAGCTTCTATTATCTATATAGCAACCTTTTAAAATGTTCTTTTTTATTTATTTTACGTAAATAATTAATTAACTTTTTTTTTCTTCTCCATGGCCCTAAATACTGGAAATTGTACATATTCTTTTTCAAGATTTCATGTGCAAGCAATAAATACCAAAGAAATTAAAGTGAAAACAAAAAAAGAGACATGGCAAGGAAGAAGAGAGTTTCTATTTTCAACAATTATTGCAATTGTTCAAGTAAATGATTCTCAAACTGAGCTTCTTAAGAGTATGTTTTCTTGGTTTCACATTCTTCCTTTCTAACTTCCGATTTAATTTATTTATCTGATTTTGATTTGACACAGAGTTTAAGAAAATAAAAAAGACGTCTGAATATTCTAGTGTACCAAAATTTCATTTAATCTTGTGATTATTAAATATGTCATGAAGAAAGTAAAAATAACGAATGACTAATAGAGATGGATTAGAAAGTAAAGTAAAAGATGTTAGGATCGAATCCACACACACTTGATGAATGAAGAACACAAGAACTTTCTCGAGAGAGAATAGTTCGTGGTAACACTTTGTGGGTAAACTTCGACGACGATGGGGTATATATTAACTGATTCAGAGTATGAACAGTTACCGAGAATAAATGGAGAATGAACAGTACATCCTAAAATTAATGTATGACAGTACATCAAAATATTAATCAGGCGCCACAACCTAACAAAACAAACAACTGAAGTATTTTCATTACTATTTTTTGAATCACTTTTAATTTTTTATCACAAAAATTGCAAATAATTAATGTTTGTATTCTTCTTGCTGTTATAGGATATCTCAAGAAGTCAGAAGAGAACAAGACCAAGAATGATAAGGAGGTAAATATCCCGAGTTTAACCTTTATGCACTGACAGCATAAACGATATTTTATACTATTAGGTCATCGAAAAGATAACTAAGTGTTCATAAGAAAAATGGGAATTAACGACGTGGAAATAATTTGCTACAACAAGTTATAATATATTAATACTGTACGAAATTTTACTTATACACACTGATAATGTTGAGTACTTTACATCGATATAGTTTTCAAGTTATTATTATTTTTTCGATTACCAAGAATCCATGAGGTACACAGTCTGAAACTCGATGAATAGTCGACACATCTTTCTAGTTTTCTCCACTTAAATATCAATCATATTGTCTATTATATACGATTCCTAACTCACACATCACGTATTGCGTGACAAAATTTATAAATTCTAGTTTTTTGTGGAATATTATTTATTGATTTTACCTTCTTTCTTTTTCTTCATTTATTTAGAGATTGGATAGTTACTACAAACGTAACTACAGAGACTATTTTGGATACTTAGAAGGCACTTTGAAGGATAAGAAAGAGGAACTCACTGAATCAGAGCAAGGCATTCTTGATTGGCTTGAAAAAAATAAATGAATTTTGTCAAACTTGTTCTGAAGGCATATAAATCGATAACATATCGTGACTCGTGAGATCTGAAAAGGCTAGAATGTACGCAAATGTGTTTATTTGCCTTCGCAATGAATTGTGTAAACTACTTTGGTCAATGTGGACAAAAAGAAAAGTACTTAAAAATATTGGGAAAATGTCTATTTATTTGCCTAGCATTTCCACTATGTTGGTGATATAGACTATGTTGCTCGGACTCGTTTATAGATACACTCAGACATTTCTATAATAGTTATATACTCTCAACTAACATTTCACTATAGTGATCAACAAGTTCTTTTAGAACCGATTTTCCATGTTATGTAATGTTATATGTTCTCTATAATGACATTTCGCTATAGACCAAAAACTATCCAGACAAACGATATTGTTATCTAATACGATTGCATGGAATTAAATACTCATTTAGTATAGGGAAAAGGGTCTGATATACCCCTCAACTTTGCCATTTAGAGCTGATATACCCCTTGTTATGAAAGTGGCTCATATATACCCCTACTTGTAAACAAATGACTCACATATACCCTTTTCCTCTAACGGAAATGGAAAAAATAATAATTTTAATCTAAATTTTTATTATTTTTTTCTAAAAAATATAATCCCATATGAATAAATTTAATCCTCGTCAAACATATTTTTTTGACCTTTTTTTGTTTCAATGACTAATTTTATAATTATTATTTTGATAATCAAATTTATTTATGTTTCACTAATATTCTTGTAAAACTTATTGTAGATGACCAATTTTTTTCTTCAAATACGAAATTAAATTACAATACACACAATTAAAATAGTTTAATTTTTCTCTCTTTAAACTAAGAAATGAAAGAAAAAACATAAGAATAAGAAACTCAAATAATTATAATAAAAAAAGTCAAAAAATAATTTATATATGAAAAAAATTAAAATATACCTTGAAATTTGATAGAAGAATCATATATATCCCTAAATAATTTTTAAAAAAAAATTACAAGTAATAAATATCAATTTAAAACTAATTTTTTAACTTCCGTTAAATGAAGGGTATATATGAGCCATTTTGTAACGGGAGGGGGGTATATGTGAGCCGTTTGTATAACGGTAAGGGCATATATGAGCCACTTTTATAACGGGGGTATATTAGCTCCAAATGACAAAGTTGAGGGGTATATCAGACCCTTTTCCCTTTAGTATATTTCGTAAAAAAAATAGCTCGAAATTTCGACACCTTACCACGCATTAAACACGAGTATGCCGATGGATCAAATGAACTTAATCGACATCAAAGAGAAACCGAGATAATTAAGTTAATTTTGATAGTTTTATTCCTAGTTATACACAATAGAGTAATCAAAAAACGTATAAGTTTAACTGATTAGTTATGCACACTCAAAATTAGAAAGCATATATACCAGATAAGACCATGTTAAAGAGTACGTTTACGTATTATGTCATCGTTTGAAAACAAGACTTACTCTTATTAACATATATAAATATATAAAAACTTATGTGTGATATTTTCAATCATTTTGTCCTAAAAATAAGCAAAACCTACCATGCACAAAACAAAAAATGAACAAAAATAAAAACCAGAGCTCCCATTGTCTACTCTTCACCATTCACATTTTGATTTGCTATTATAATTATTATTGTAACTCTATTAATCAATCTTCTTCTCAATCCTTCAGTTCCCCTTTAGGAATCGGCGATAGCTTATCGCCGATAACCATTTTTTTTCTTTTTAATACAAACAAGTTTTCATGAGAACAAATCCATAAAAAAAATAATCAAGATTGTTATCATTTCGATTTTTTTTTGTATGTACCTATGTAGAGATCATTTGGGTGATAGGGGAATTGTGTTGTTTAGTTTTCTTATGCTGCATTGTGGAATTGAGCCATGGCAGATTCCGTGGGAGAGAAGAAAAGAGTAGTGGTGATTGGAGGTGGAGTTGCTGGATCTCTTATTGCAAGGAGTCTTCAAGATGAAGCTAATGTTACCCTCATTGATATGTGAGTTTTTTTTGTTTTTGTGATAATCGTTGTGTCTGAGTCAGCTTGTGCACACCTCGACTAATGTCATTACATGGGGGGTGGGGAAGGGATCGTGGAAATTGAACCTACACCTATTGTTTGAGATTGATGCGTAGTTGATACCATTGATTGAGAGAATGGATTGTTAGTTGTTTTCTAATACATGAATGGATAATCGTCATCTCATGACCGAGCTTTTGGAATTTGCGTTAAGCCTAATATCCATTTTTGAACTTTGTATCAGAGTCAGACTCATTCATATTTTTGACTGACCCTACTAAGGTTGATATATTATGTTGTTCACGCTCTAGATATCCAGTCGTGGAGTTGTTGTTTTCTAATACATGTT